ACTGATAGAAATTATCAGGGAAAATATTTGTGGATGTGACTTTTGGAGATTTCATATGATATAAAAAAATACCATAGAGTAATTAATTAATAAGTTATTCAACCTTGCTTAATTTATGGCGTTATCTTTGCAGTGCGCCTGAGTATGCAAATGTCGCAGACAGTGGAGGATTGATGTTTGAAGATACTGACCCAGATTTCACACTCCCCTCTGTGTCTCATCTCACTGTTTACTACTGCCTATTTGTGCTTTGTGTATTTGCAGAAGGAAAGATGTCTATGCTTTTCTCTAAAATGGATTTAAAGAGTGGTTATTATGCAAAATTCTGAAAATAACTCAGCCTAAATGTGCAGGGTTTGCGAGTTTAACATGTGTGAATGAAACAAAACACGACTCCAGGTATGTTTGGATGAGGGAACAATATTATAACATAGATCAGAAAACGGTGTGATATAAGTGCTTTAAATTTGACTGGGCAGTTATCTGGTTTTCTTAGCGCACATGCAAACACTCCAAATTGAAAATGTGTACAACTCAATTAAACTCAAATCACTGGCTTTCTGTAAGACTTCCAGATGTGCGCCAATGCAAAACCCTCTGACATGATTTAAGAAGCGCCGGTGTGAAACGATTCTTTTGATTCTTTTCATACTCGGCCTTGTTCCATGTTTCTCATCTTCTCCTCGGCTCTTCTCACAGCGAGGGTCCAATCAAAAGGAAATCTCCCCCGTGTTTGATCTCACAAACCAGAGCGGAGCATAGCATCTTGTGTGGAATAAGACTGTGACTCTTGATGTTCTAACAAGATCATCGCATTGCTTATTGTCAAAAAGTAAATGTTTTGACCTGGTTTATGATTCATATCTCTGTAATTATTGGACCTATCCACATAATCCCTGTAAATGTCTCTGTTGAGGTTCAAGTTTTATTCCAAAAAAGAATGAAGGCTGAAAAATTCACCACAAAAGTTAAGAAATATGACTTAGACCCATTTGTATGTATTTGTTTTTCAATATATCTTTCCTTAAAGGTTCTCACAAACATACTTGGAGTTGTGTTTTGTTTAATTCACACATGTTTGAGTGATCCATCTCCAAAGTTCAGTATGCTTTGTTCCACCTTATGATGTCATGAAGCGATAGATTTCAAATTAACAGGTCTGTTTGTTCCACATTTTGTTTAGTGGAGATTGGAAATTCCAGGTCTGAAGTCATCCAAATCATTCTAGTGAAGGTGTATGGACTTTAAAAATACAGTGGAGCACTTCCTGTATTACCACATGACATCACAGGGTGGGACAGTTTTCAGTTTGAGAAAAGAACACAAAAAAATACGCTTGTGATGAGAAAACATTATAACAGAGATTGCAAAATAGCATCTCATGGGCATAAATATTGTCATAAAGATAATGACAAAAAATTGATTATATGGATTTTTTTTTTTGTCAGACTCCCCGCTCCCCCTAGCCCCTCCCCCTCAGGTGTTTTGCTTAAGAGCAGGTGGAGTTCACACAGTGTTTAACCCAGACTGAGGCAGCTGCTCCATTAACCTTAATCTCATTTCAGATTCACAAACCTAAAAGGATCAAGTCCAAGTCTGCAATCCTCCTACACAGACTGCAGCAACCAGGACTGAACCAGGACTAAACCAAGACTGATACAGAATCTAAAACCAGGACTAAACCAAGACTGATACAGAGTCTAAAACCAGGACTGAACCAGGACTAAACCAAGACTGATACAGAGTCTAAAGCCAGGACTGAACCAGGACTAAACCAAGACTGATACAGAGTCTAAAGCCAGGACTGAACCAGGACTAAACCAAGACTGATACAGTGTCTAAAACCAGGACTGAACCAAGACTAAACCAAGACTGATACAGAGTCTAAAACCAGGACTAAACCAAGACTGATACAGAGTCTAAAGCCAGGACTGAACCAGGACTAAACCAAGACTGATACAGAGTCTAAAACCAGGACTGAGCCAGGACTAAACCAGGACTAAACCAAGACTAAACCAGGACTGAACCAGGATTAAACCCAGGACTAAACCCAGGACTAAACCCAGGACTAAACCGGGACTGAACCGGGACTGAACCCGGACTGAACCAGGACTGAACCGGTACTGAACCAGGACTGATAGAGTGTCTAAAACCAGGACTGAATCAGATACTAAACCAAGACTAAACCAGGACTGAACCAGGACTGAACCAGGACTAAACCAGGACTGAACCAGGACTGAACCAGGATTCAACCAGGACTGATAGAGAGTCTAAAACCAGGACTGAATCAGATACTAAACCAGGACTGAACCAGGACTAAACCAGGACTGAACCAGGACTGAACCAGGACTGAACCAGGACTGAACCAGGACTGAACCAGGACTGAACCAGGACTAAAAAGAACTAAAGCAGGGCTAAAGCAAGACTGAACCAGGATCGAACCAGGACCGAACCAGAACTAAATTGGATACTAAACCAGAGCTAAACCAGGACTGAACCTGGATTGATCTAGAATTAAACCAAGGACTAAACCAGGACTGAACTAGGAGTAAACCAAGACTGAACCAGGATAAACATGGACTGAACCAGGACTAAACCCGGACTGAAACAGGACAAAAGCAGGACTGAACCAGGACCGAACCAGGACTAAACATGATTCTGTTCTGTCTCCTGTTTTCCGGTGTAATCTCTTCAGAGAGCAGCTCAGTCTCTACACGTGGCCCTGGGTTTTTATAGAACGTCTGCGGCCTAAAAAGGCGCTGAATTATTCATCCATCTTTCTTTGATTACACTTTACAATGGCACACAGATGAAAGAGGAGACGAGAGAGGGAGAGACGGAGGAGTGCAAGGAGAGAGGGAGAGACAGAGAGAAAGGAAGATGAGTGAGGAAGAGGAGGAGAGAGAGATGGAGGAGTGAAGGAGGGGAGGAGAAAAAGAGACAGAGGAGTGAAGGAGGGGAGGAGAATAAGAGACAGAGGAGCGAAGGAGGGGAGGAGAAAAAGAGACAGAGGAGCGAAGGTGGGGAGGAGAAAAAGAGACAGATGAGCGAAGGAGGGGAGGAGAAAAAGACAGGAGCGAAGGTGAGGAGGAGAAAGAGAGATAGAGGCGCGAAGGTGAGGAGGAGAAAGAGAGATGGAGGAGCAAAGGTGAGGACGAGTAAAAGACGGAGGAGCGAAGGAGAGGACGAGTAAGAGAGACGGAGGAGCGAAGGAGAGGAGGAGAAAGAGAGATGGAGGAGCGAAGGTGAGAACGAGTAAGAGAAATGGAGGAGCGAGGGAGAGGAGGAGAGCAAAAGAGAGACAGAGGAGTCAAAGGAGTCAGAACAGAAAGAGACAGAGTAGGAGTGGGAGTGGAGAGAGGGAGAGATAGATTGATAGATAGATAGAGAGGAGAGATCAAGGGAGAGGAGAAGAGAGACAAAGATTAGGATAAGCTCGGGAGAGGAGGAGAGAGAGAAAGGAGGATAAGCAAGGGAAAGGAGAGAGAGGGACTGAAGAGGAATGGAATGAGGGAGAGGAGGAGAGAGAGGAGAGGATGAGCAAGGGAGAGGAGGGGAGAGAGAGAAGAATCTGGAAAGAAGAAAGGCGACAGAAAAGGGGGTTGATAGAGGGGAACTAGGGCGGAGGAGGAAATGATGAGGAATAAAGGAGTGGAGAAATAATGGAGGGATAGAGAGGAAGGGAGAGAGGAGAAGGCAAGAAGAGAGGGGCAAGAGAGAAAGAGACATAAAGAGAAATGGAGCAGAGAGACAGCAATGAGCAGAGCGAGAAATGAGGGGACCAGGAGAGAGAGAAGGTGACGAGGTTGAGAGGAAAGATAAAGATATGGATCAAGGGATGAGGAGAAATAATGGAGCGAATGAAAAGCAAAAGAGGAGGAGTAGAACAAGGAGTGAGTGCTTGTATCTTGCCTGTGTTTGGCTCCAACGGTTTTGGAAAATTGAAATCATGATTAGATTTGAAATTTTTGTTTTTAAATCAAGATTCAGTTCACGGGTCTCGTTTTAAAACCCTCAAGGAGCAAATGTGACACAGGGAAGGCATCTGACACACAGGGACAATTTTTTGTGGGGTAATTTAGCAAGAATTTCACAATGTCATTTGCAGCAAATTTGTTATTGCGGGTTTTTGTATTGTGCTGTGAATTGTATTTGTTGTGCATGTTTCAGAATCGTGTCAACCAAGATTTTGTGGGTCCAATGAATCTCTATTTTTCAAAACATACAAAATGAACTACTTTTTTTCAGTTGAACTTGCTCTGGTCTAGTCCTGGTGTAGCCCTGGTCTGATCCTGGTGTAGCCCCTGTTTAGTCTTGGTTTGAACCCATTTTAATTCTGAGGTAGATTTGGTTTAGTCCTCTTCTAGTCCTGGCTTATCCTGGCCTAGTCCTGGCTTTACCCTGGTTTAGTTCTTGTTTTAACGCTGGTCTAGTCCTGGTTTAGCCTTGGTCTAGTCTTGATTTGAGCCCAGTTTAATTCTGAAGTAGATTTAGTTTAGTTCTGTGCTAGTCTTGGTGTAGCCCTGGTTTAGTTTTTGTTTTAACCCTGGTCTAGATTTGGTTTGAGCCCATTTTAATTCTGAGGTAGACCTGGTTTGGCCCTCTTCTAGTTCTGGCTCATCCTGGTCTAGTCCTGGTATTGCCCTGGTTTAGTTCTTGTTTTAACCCTGGTCTAATCCTGGTTTAACCTAGGTCTAGTTCTGGTCTGAGACCAGTTTAATTCTGAAGTAGACTTGGTTTAGCCGTGGTCTAGTCCTGGTTTAGCCCTGGTCTAGTCCTGGTGTAGCCCTGGTTTAGTCCTAGTTTAGCCGTGGTCTAGCCCTAGTTTCACTTTGGTCTAGTCCTGGTTTAGCTGTGGACTAGTCCTGGTTTAGCCCTGGTCTAGTTCTGGTCCTATTTTAGTCCTGAGTGATTGTATGGGTGGACTGAGAATGTATGACCATATTTATAATAATATTGTATGATGTATAATTCAAGTGTCCTTTTCCTCTCTTCCACAGCTGGTTGGTTTTGTGTCTGGGAGACAGACGAGCCTGACAGAGCACACGCACAGAGAGGACGTCACAGGTCAGAGCTTTCACATTAAATCCGCTCATATCAAATCATGTATTTACAATTATTCCATTTACACCTTTTAAAGTACTTACTCTCATACTGTGGTGTTTGTTTTGCTTGAAGGGCATGGGGTGATCAATAGGGCTCTGACTAGGCAACTATAACAAAAAATAGTAGCCGTATTTTTATTTTGTATTCATAATCGTTATCTGGACTCTGAATGAAAAGACCTTTTATAATTCAATGTCACTGTATTTTCATGAATAATACACTTTAGTATTAAATCTTCTCAGCTTAAAAGGCTTCAGTTGCTATTATTTGACCTGTATTTGGTTAAAAATTGGCCCGTTGCTGCAAAACCCTACATTTAAGACAAACTATGAGGTTAGGCTGTAGTAGACTAGATGAATTGTTGCTGGACTAAAGACGTTTGCTGCTGATGTTGTTCCAGTACTATTTTTTTTTAAATTTGGCCTTGGTGTAATGCCATACCGATACAGTCCAATACCGCATAGTGTGAAGTATGGCTACTCAATTTTGTAACAGAACAAAAGCAAAAAATAAATCTTTTAAAAGTCTATTTGTAAAGAAAGTCTGCAAGAATAAATTCGATTTTGAGGTAGTTTTAAAGTATTAGAGAAATGTATAATGGTCTTGACAATAAATTGTGCTGATTTAAGCACTTTTACTTTCTCTTTTTACGTTTTCCTTTCTAGCACAGAGAGGGGACAAAAACAAGTGAGGCTTGTAAAAAGGTACTCATCGTCGGAGCGCATGACTAATTATGCAGAGTAAACAAAATCCGAGTTAGCACTGTTGTCAGGTTGCACTCTCTGGAGTTATTTTACTAAGTTGAGCGTCCACATTAAAGGCTAAATGAACTTATCAGAAAGGTAACACAAATATATTTTCTGTCATTATCAGCATGTTTTAAGTGTTTACAGAGCCTCCACAGTCTGTATTGAACCTGCTCTGAGCATTAGAGCAGCATCTACAGGTAATCATTCTGGACAATACAGAGTGGTATCAGATCGGTGATTTAGAGTACTCGCAGATACCGATACCTGAAAAATTTGTAGTATTTTGGTACTTTTGTTGATACCAATATCAGTATCGGAACAGCCCTACTATTTATGCAGAAAAAAGTGCTAGGAAACAATGTAGTATTTATATAAAGAGTTTAACTTTTATACAGATAAACACCAGAAAATACTAAATCTTCAGCTCGCTCCTCTCCTTTCTGCCATAGATCCTTATCATAAAATAATTAGTCAAGATTCCGTCGACCAATTAATCGAAAAAAAAAACAACCAAGAACTACAGTCCAATAAGATTAGTGAGTAATCAGTATTAAGTTCAAGTTTGTGAATGGATAATTCTAGTTCTTGGTTATTGTGGTATTGTCCATATTGTTAGATTAGTCTCTAATAGTTATGTATTTGTAAGACTTCCTTCCTCCTTCATATTCAAATATCTCTCTTGGACCATGTGTTACTGTGGTCCTGTTTCTTGTTTCACTTCCTCTCTTTGCTTTTCGCCATCAGATGCTTTTGTCGTCTGTTCTGTCAGCTTTTTTTTTTTAAGTTTTGTAGTTTTTTATTTTTACCAAAGAAAAGAATTCAGCTTGTGGCCGATTTGAGCTATTTATTTACACTGTGGCTGACATGAGTAGTCCCATTATCTGCCTCTCCTCCTCTTCTCCTCTCCCGCTTTCCCTCTATCTTTTCCTCCATCCTGTCTTTCTCCTTCCTCCTGCTATCTACTTCTCTCTCTCTCCCTTTGTCTCTCTCTCCATCTATCTACCCCCCATCTCCTTCCCTCTTATGTAGTTGACGTGAGCTATCTCCAGGCTCTCCCTCTTTCATCTCCCACGAGTTGCCTCCATGACTCCCTCCCTCTTTCTCCTCTCCTCCTTTCTCTTAATCCCAGTTCCCTTGTTTCTTGTGAATATTCGATTCCCTCCTCCCTCTTTCTCCATTGCTCTCTCCCCTCTCTACCTCTTTTCCTCTCCTCCTCTCTTCTCTCAGATTCCCAGTTCCCTTGTTCCTTGTGAATACTGGGCTCTGTCCTTAAGCTAAACTTTGATAAAAGCAGATTTCTATTTTGGTCGTTTCATTTGGAGTTAAACTAAACCACGTGCTCTGAGGCTCCGGGGCCACACATGATCCTTCAGCAATAATGCACTGGGATTACAAATACTACTACTATTACTGCTACTTCTATTGCTGCTACTATACTGTTACTTCAGGCCTAGAAATGATCCTCTGCCCTAGTATAAACTGAGCTTAGAAATACCACTACTGTTTATACATCTACTGCTAGAGCTACTGCCACTGCTTTTACTACTACTTTACTACTACTACTACTACTACTGCTACTGCTGTGACTACTACTATCACTGCTACTAGAGCCCTAGAAATGGTCCTTCATGTAACAATACACTGGGATTACAAATACTACGATATACTAATACTACAACATACTTGCATATTTCTATCTGCTAGTACTATTACTACTACTTCAGGCTCAGAAATGATCCTTTATGTACTACTACTACAACTGCTATGACTTACAACTACTACGACTTTTACTGCTACAAATTTTACTACTACGACTACTACTGCTACCACTACTACTGCTATGACTACTACTAATACTAATACTAATACTAGACTTACTGCTGCTACTACTAGAATGACTGCTACTTGCCCGAAATGATCCAAAATGTACTACTCCTATGACTACTACGATTTACGACGACTACTGCTACGACTATGACCGCTACTACTACTACTACTACTATAACTATGACTACCACTACTCCTACTAATGCTACTATTAGTACTACTACTACTACGACTACTATTCCTACTCCTACTACTACTGCTACTACTACTACTACTACTAGAATTACTGCTACTTCAGGCCCAAAATGATCCTCCGTGTATGAATGGACTTACAAATACTATTACTTATACACATCCACTGCTACTACAACTATTACTATTACTACTGCTGCGACTGCTACTAATACTTTACTGCTGCTACCCCTGCTTACGTAAAGCCCAGAAATGATCCTCTATGTGCTGTGATACTGCTCCAATACACATATATTTGAAACTACTACTACTACTACTACTACTACTACTACTACTACTACTACTACTACTACTACTACTACTACTACTACTACAGTTACTACAGGCCCAAACAGGAAATCCTGAAACTGATCTGAAACTGATGAAGCAGCATGTTATGGATCAGAGGAGATACCCAACACCAGGATCTGTATTCACCCTATAGTGAACTCAGCATTTTTCCGCTTCTCTCTTCCTCTCCCTCTGTACTCTCATCTTCCTCCTTCTCTCCTTTCTGTGCTTCTTCTCTTTTCTGTTCGCAGTGTCGCTACTTTTAGTTTTGTGGGTTTTATTTAGGCCCCTTATACGTTTCCCCATGTGTCTGAGTACAGTGTGTCTTGCGCCCATACATATATTGTATAAGCAGCTCTTGAGGTTAAAATAAGTCCACTGTGTGCAGTCTGTGTCTATGGAGCAGAATCAGGAATTGCACTGTTAGCATGATAGTTGTTGTTATCATTACTGTGATGGCAAAACTCCGCTCTGGTCTCTGGAAGTTGTGAAAAGCACTTCTAAACTCATCACAGCGAATAATTAGGATGTTCAGAATGCAAAACGTAATTGAGGAAGAACTTTAGACCACTGCCAGAGTTGGGGACTTGTGAGTCGTGACTTGGACTCAAGTCAGACTTGAGTAAATATTTTTAAGACTTGACTTGATGAAATTGACCAAGACTTGGAACTTGACTTGGACTTGAAGCTCAATGACTCAGGTCTTGACTTAGACTTGAGGCCTGTGACAAGACTTGATGTTTCTTCTAAAAAAAAATATATGTTTTTAGAAAATACTTTTCTCTTTACATTTGATACATGCTTAATTTCAAAGGAACACACTGGAACATGTCCCTCCCACTCCTCTTGTTTGTTACTATGGCAACAGTAACTGAAGTACTGTGATATGGTACCCTCAAATGTACTACAGTAATATACAGTACAATATAGTAAAATAGAGGGAACTACAGAGAACTACATGACAAAATAACTTAAATCTTAATTCTTTTCTGTTCTTATAAAGGAAAAATTTGCATTTCTACAACTCTTACATAAATACTCATATATAAATATTCCATACGTTTTTAAGTACAGTTTAGTTTAAAATTCATATAAATTGCAATAATCTAAGCTATATTTGGTAATTTTTTGGTTTAAAGACTTGAAATTGGACTTATGGGCCAGTGACTCAAGACTTGAACTTGCCCATCTTTGACTTGGGACTTGACTCGGACTTGAGGTCAAAGACTTGAGACTTACTTGAGACAAACAACGACTTGGTCCCAACTCTGACCATTGCAAACCTTTTATAATGAGCTAGTTCTGTTTTTCATGTTTTTAAGAGAGTAAAAATCAGGTAGAGCGCTTTTAACACTCTGATGTTAAACAACAGCAGCAGAGGAGGCTTCTGGGAGATTGTGTTTGTGGACATTTCAGACAGAGACACGACAGTCTGCCATAAACAGTGTTATGTTTATGGCAATGATCAAACACTGTATTCATTTTCAAACTATCATTTACTCTCCATCTCTCTATCTCTATCCCTCTTCCATCGCTCCATTTACTCTTTTTCTGTCTCTCCACGCTGTCTTTCAGTTTTATCACTTCTCTCCTGATCCTCGCTATATCTGCCCTCTGTCTCTCTCTTTTCTTTTTCTCTCTCGCTCTCACTCTCTCCCTTTTTCTCCCTGTAGCTCTCTCTTTCCATCCCTCTCCTGCTCTCTCTTTCTTTCTTTTCTTCTCTCTCTCTCTCTCTCTCTGTCTGTCTCTCTCTCTCTCTCTTTCTTTTTTCTTTCTTTCTCGCCCATTCTCATCTCTCTCATCTTTTCTCCTTTGCCTCTGCCACTCTCCTCCTCTTCTACTCTTTCACCTGCCTTTTCCATC